GCAGGAGTGGCCTCGCAGGTATTAAAGCGGGTCACCTTGAGGCAGCTGGTGGCTTTTTTTGGCAAATCACCTTTAGTTAATCTTCCCCAGAGTAAACCCGTAGCTGCAGCTCTGTGAGCGCACCTTGCTTTGGCACGAGCCTTGTCACTGTTAAATGCTCTACAAATTAATCTTGGTTCTCAAATCCTATAGCATCCTCTGCCTGATGCAAGTGCTGGCTGGGGCAGGGAGTCCTGCTGGTTTCCTCTGGCTCAGTGTTGTGGAGCAGCCTCGTCCTTCCTTAAGGGCTGCACCCAGAGGGGCTGAGTGAAGCTCAGCTGCAGGCTGAGCTCTGCCTGGCTGTTCCGGGGGCACAGGGATTTGCAGAAATGGCTTGTTTCAAACTGGAGAGCAGCTAAACTGAGCACAGCAGGCTGTGCTGGTGCTCAGGCTGCTGCTCATGTCTGCTGTGCTCCATCCTTTCAGGTTGGCTGCGCTGCCAGAGAAGCCCCCAGCCATCGACTGGGCTTTCTACAAAGCTCATGTTGCCAAGGCTGGAATGGTGGATGAGTTCCAGAAGAAGGTCAGTCTTCTTGCCAGCTGGGTATTGCTCCTTGGAATTTAATTGGGGCACTAAGAGGAAAACACTGGGATCAGCAGAGGAGCTTGGTTGTGTCAGTATGGAAATTTGCCTCCCAGGACTGGAGGCACCCACTGAGCTCAGATGGGGCTGAGAGCTTTGTGTGGGGCAGTAACTCTGTCATGGGTCAGTCTGTGGTGTGGGACCTTCCAGCTTCCTTCCAGTGCTGTGGGGAACGGGTGGTGTGTGTGTCCTGGGGGTGGTGGGCAGGACAGAGGAGATGTCTGGAAGCTCCTGGGTGAGCAAGTGCTGCTTGGGAGGGACAGGGGACAGCTGCACTGATCACTTTTGTGATCATTAATGTCCATGGTTGTAAACAAATCCTACGAAGACAGGAGGGAATGCTCCCCTGCTGCTAGGGAACGTGACCTCGATGTGAAGGATTGTTTCAGTCAAACAAACCTTAAAAATATTAAAAATATGTCTTTCAACTTACAGTTCAGTGCACTGAAGGTTCCAGAGCCAGTGGATACACAAACTGCCAAGATTGATGCCCAGGAGAAGGAAGCTGTAAGTGAACCACTCCCTGCTGGGGCTGTCCCTGCCCTCTGTGGGGGTGGGAAGGGGTGAGAGGGAGGGGATGTTCTGGATGTGCCCCTGCACACACGTGCCTGGCTTTCCGAGCAAGGGATCCCTGCCCAGGGCAGGCTTTGGCTGGTTGGGGTCTGCTGGAGATTGCATCAGTTTCCCAGTGTAGCAGTGATGGATTTTACTGCCAGCTGAAAGCCTGGGGGTGTGTGCAGGGTCACTCTGGGGCAGTGTGTTTGCCATAACCACTGTGCCCACATTCTCTGCTCTCCCCAGGCCAAGAGCACTGCTGAGTACATCGAGGCTTCCAAGGCGCGCATCGCGCAGTACGAGCAGGAGGTGAGGCTGCCCCTGCTTGGGGAGCGTGGTCTGGGGCACACCCTGCTCTCCTGGCTCTGCCTTGCTCCTTCCTGCTGACCTCTGACTTGTGATTATTGTCTGTCCCTGCTTCCACAGCTCCAGAAGCTCCAGAACATGATTCCCTTTGAACAGATGACCTTTGAAGACTTGAGTGATGCCTTCCCTGAAACCAAACTGGACAAGCAGAAATATCCATACTGGCCCCACAAGCCAATTGCTGATCTGTAAACTGGGAGCAGTTCAGGGAGCAGTTTAATGACTGTCAGACTCCATGATCTTATAAATAAAGAGCTTTCTCTGTCTGTGGCTTAGATCTTCAACATAAATTCTGAGTAATACAGACGTGGAACAATACAGTAACTTGCAAACATTCCACTTTTTCTGGATTTTGTGTTTTCTACCCACGAGCTTGTTTTGGTAGCAGGACCAAGCTCCCTGTCCTGCTGATCAGACTGAACCCTGTGAAATGCAAATGAACCTCCAATCCCTCTCTGTTGCCACGAGGGGCAGGGGATGGAGTTCTGCCCTTGCAGGCAGCCACTTGCTCAGAAGTTGACCGTGTGTAGCCCTTTGAGATGCTGGAGTGTGTTTGGCAGTGATTTGTGTGTGTCTGGAGTGTCTCAGGGCTTCTACAGCCACAGGTCTGGGCCTGTTTTCTGGGCTGATTGTGATTGGTTAGGAAAAGCCAATTCCAAGAGGAGGTGAAGAAGTATTGGTGTGTTGAGATGCACATAAAAAATTATTTTTTAATTTTTTTTTAAAAACAATCATGGTGCTTCTTTTCTCTTTGCCCTGGATTTCTGAATGGTGCTGATCTCACTGGAACTCACAGAAACAATAGTAAAGACTTGCACTGTTTTATTTAATAATGTGAGGTGGAATTCTTAAACACCTCCCCTCAAGATGGAAGGTGTTTAATCAGGATGGCTGATTGCCTTCTCTCATCTAAGAGAAGGCAATCAGCTCCTTTTCTTTTTGGTCATGTTGGAGGTCAGAATTACAGATAGGTAGAATGAAGGTGTTATCCCCAGATTTTACAACTATTTTATTCAAATACCTTAGTAGCTCACAGAATACTTCAAGAACATCTGCAGTTCTACTGAACCAGAGTACAAAGCACTACACATGCAGATCTTGGGTCCTGTGGCTTTGGATTTTAATTTAATTTTATTTTATTCAGGCAACTGAACTGCAGCTCTATGAATTGACCAGGAACAAATGACAGCAGGGAGTCAGAAGCAACATGGTAGAGAACAGCTGAGCTGGCACTGGGCAGAGCTGATCTTCAGCTGCTCCATTTTACAAAAATCACAGCAAAAAAGAACAGGGACAGGAAGAGGTGGCTGAAGAGAAGCACCTTCTCCAGAACTGGAAGAAACTGATCCAGCTCCTGCAGCTGCCAGAGGCGCTTGGTGGGCTGCCCTTGGGCCTTCCTGGGAGGGTGCAGCAGCCGGGGGCCCCCCTTGGCCAGATTGCCTGGGGGTGCCTTGGGCAGCTGGTGTGGGTCTGCAGGAGCAAGGGCAGGGTCAGCCCTGTGGGCCACCATGGCTCACCCTGCCTGGGGCACAGTTTGTCCCTGAGGAAACCACCCTGGCTCCACCCAACATGCAGGAGAATGCCCCAAACCTCCTCTCTTGGAGGGGTTCTGGGCTGTTTTACCTTGCTGGGAGCTCCTGAGGACCTTGTCCAAGCGCCCGGATTTGCGCTGCTGGTACAACAGGAAGAAGGTGTCCAACACAGCCATGATCATGAGCAGGAAGGTGCCCAGGAAAAACACCACTGCAGAGCAACAGCAAAACAGAGAAAGCTCTGGGGAATTGGCATTTTCTTACATTCCATTGCCTGGTGGGGAACAGGGAAAGCCTAACTCCAGCAACCTAAACAAGCTTAGCTGTTCATGACTTCATTGTTCATGAATGTGTCTATCAACACCCAAAACCTCCCCTTAGGGCTGGTACCTGGGTGAAAATCGGGGTTTATTTGATAAAGGTGGGTACCTATGATGGGTGGTTTGTTGGAGGAAGTTGGGAGGCTGTTGTTGAGAATCACAGCCAGCATGGAGCTGCCGAGGATGATGGCAATCTGGAAGTTGATTTTCTCCTCGAGAGAGCTGGGACCAAACAGCACAGCCATGTCCAGCAAGTACAGGGCACACGTTGGGAGGATCAAGTTCAGAATGTAGAGAGTGGGTCGTCTATCCATGGAAATCTGTTGAGGAAGATGAGCAAAATTTGATGAGCAGGAGATGACTCAATGTGTTGACAAATGCTGGTCCCCTAATGTTAGAAATTGTCCTGTTTTATACTGGGGTTTTTTTGGTGCTAAATAAGTGCAATATAATATGGAAGTGTTGCCATACCACATAGGTGACCACAGAAAATCCTTTGTCATCCATCATTTCGGTGAATTCCATGATGCTCACGTTGGTAAACTTCCATTCTCCATCAGTCAGGATTAAGCTCTTGCTGTCTCTTATGATCTCAGCTGGTGTCCGTCTCGTCTTCATGACAAAGTCTGTTACTGCTTGGGCAGGAGGCAGAGGGGGAGGGAAGTTGAAGAATTCAGGAATTTATTAGAGGTCAGTTATTCCTCTCCCTTTCCCACCCAGCTGAGGGTGTATGCAGACAGGAAGGGGGAAGGTTTCATGCACTGCTCAGGTTTCTCAGCCCATGAGGGAGAAATTAAAAAGGTCTCTGTGAAGAGGCTTCACTGGACCTCTGGAAATGTGGATCAGAGGGAAAACATCTGTTGAATTAGGGCAATTGTTCTTTGTGGATGGGACTGGGGAGATTTTGTGGCACCTCTGCTTATATTTCAGCCCTCCCTGTAGGGATGAACTCTAACTGCAGTTTGAATCCCTGAAACTGTCCTTTTAATGGTTGCATTTGATTCCCTTGGAAATCTTTTCCAACCTTAGAATTCTATTATTAATTTCCTCCCATTTCTGTGGCTTTCAGGTGTGTTTAAAGATCAGTCCTGCAAAATTCTATGTGAACAAGTGGCAGTTTTGCAGGAAGCCTCCTGGTCTCGGGTCTCTTGGTTTGTAGAAACCAGTCCTGAGAGGGGCTTGCCACAGAACGTCTGGATTGCTCCAGAGATGTTGCTGGGAAATGTGCCAGGACAGAATGGCAGCATTTTAACTCCTTTTCCCTGGTCTCATATGACCTCAACCCCGCTCTGAGCATGAGGGCCTGCTCAGGAGCCCCGGAGTTCCCAGGGCCCACTTCATCCAGCCCTCCTCCTCCAAATGCAGCCCAGAGGTGGTCAAGCTCAGCCTGCAGCTGTACCTGGGTAGAGGAATGAAGCTATGCTCAGATTGCACATCTGGGTGTCGAAGGGGAACTTGAAGATCACCAAACTGCACGTGAGGGTGGCCTGGTAGGCCCGGGTGGAGTTGAAGGTGCCGTTGTGCATGAGCTCCACATAATTCAGCTCTGGGTCCTGCCCGTTCACTCTGCAGGGAACAGACAGGGAGAGTAACTGAGCCTGAGATGCTGCCTGTGCCTCAGCCCCATAAAACCAGGATGTGAACACCCTGTTGGGGGGCTCTGAGCCATCACCCAGCCGTGGGATGCAGCAGGAAGAGAGGAAACCAGGTCTGGGAGAAGGGTTCTGAGCCCTTTGGGATCAAGGTCTGCTGTAGCTCTGCACCTCCTGAGCATCTCCTGCCTCTCTGTCCTCTGTTCCTAGCTCTGCCTCCCACTCCTCTCTCGCTCTGGAGAGCTGGTGGGGGTGCCCATCCCTCTGTCAGACCCTCAGCGCTCTGCCCTGTATCTCTCCACACACTACCAAAGGTCACTTTATTCCACAGCAGTGCTGGTTTCTGCTGCTCCCTCGGTTTTAGCTGCAGACCAGATAGGAAATTTCAGGAGCTGTTACAGTATTACAGAGCCACTAAGTGCTTTGTATAAACTGTGGTCACCATTAATCTAAATTAGGAGGCTCTCGGTTACAGAGAGCTCAAGGGAACAACTTTTAGCCATCAGAATTTATCCCATTTCCTATAATACAACCAACAGTTTGCATCCTCTGTATTTCTGTGAAGTCAGTGGATAAAAATGAGAGGGGGACGTACCGCTCCAAGATGAAGATGGGGGGCGACCAATACGTGTCCAAGGGCAGAACAATTTCAGAGATGTTACAGAAATCCCAGGGGTCCCAGGTTGCAAAAGGGTTCTGCCATTCCTGAGGGAAGAAGTTGCAGGAGAGAGATGAGCTCTGGGCTGGGCACCAGACTTTGTGTTGGGCAGCAGGAGAGAAATGCTCTTGAGGGACCTACCAGGTTCAGGACGAAGTAAAAACTGACTGTCTGCAGCTTTTCCACCTGGAGAAACAAAGATGTTTAGCTGATTTTCTGAGATGTATCCAATGCAGAAGCTCTTCCCTGAGCACAGACTGCAGTAATGGGGCTTGGGAAGAGAGCTCATGGCTCTTGGTCCTACGGCTGAAGGGTGGGAGCACAAAGTGCAATGGTTAGGGAAAATAATAGATTATTGTTAACATTTCCATGGCAGTGTCCTGCAAATGCACTGCCCAGTTTGGGCACTGCAGGGTGTTTGGAGCCTCTTACTAAGCAGGCTGCTTGTCTGGATGTGACTTCTGGAAGGAGTGAGAGAAAATACTCCAAATCTTCCAAAAGTGCTTTCCAACAGCAGAAAGCTGAAGTGGCTGATTCTCACCCCTGTGGACTTGCTGTCAGAAGACTCAAACCCTGGTCTAGTAATAGCCCAGTTTCCTGTTGTAAAAACTCATTTTGGGTTCTTACCACAGAGAGAATTGACACCAGAAAGAAATCCACCTTCACTTCCACAGGCTCCTTCGGGTTTATCTTGGGCAGGATGTACGTGTACAGCTTGTCATGAGAGGAGATGTTCAGGTAGTCAACAATGTCATAGTAGGTGCAGAGGTACTTTGGGGCAGCCCCTGCTGGAAAGAAAATCCCATTTGAAACACAAAAACATCAGGCAACCTGCGAGGATGCATCAAAAAAGAAAGGGTGTGGAGCTGTGGATGTGAAAAACATCATTAACACACAAAAATCCCTTCTCACACAGATGAGAACAGAACTCCTTGAAGGTTTTCAATCCCCCTTGCACTTACCTGTCCCAAGAGAAAAGGTGAGGATGGCTACAAAAACTCCCTGCATCATCTCCTGCTTCCAAATAAGGAGGAGAGTGGTGCTGTGAGTCTTATGAGCCGGTCCAGGACACGTCATTTGTTATGTGGAAGTTGATTTGATATTTGTTAATGAGGGATGGATTTTTGTAAATACATTTTATCTGTTAGGGGGAAGAATTTGCTAATGGTTTGATGCACTCAGCTGGCTCTTGGGAGTAGCCTTTAGTTGTGGTCAGGGACAAAGAAGGTCATTAAAAAAAAGAATCCAACAATTTGAGGAAAAGAAAGGGCCCATCCCCACAAAGAAAAGGCAAAGAGGCAGAGCTACTCAGTAGCAAATTTAGTCTCATTTACCCGGCTGAGGGTTTGCTGCAACCCCAGTGGAAAGGATCAGGGATCAGTGGTTGTGTGCCTGAGGGCTGTGGGGGAGGCTGCTCTCCTTGGAGCCCTGTCCTGCTTTCCAGTAGACCACACTGTGTCATTTCCCACCGAGCCCTCCATACACCCATGGATTTTCTGCTTCTGCCTCCTTGCTGATCTCCCATGCTCCTTGTGGTCTTTTCTGAGTCCTCACAGTTAAGATGAAGGGCTCAGAGACTTCTGGGTTTTTTTAATGTGTCTGTGTATTCCTCTGCTGCCCTCCTCTCCATCTCTGCCTTTTTTTTTTTTTTCTGCTGTCATCCCAGTGATCCTTGTGGATCTCTTCCAACCCAGGATATTCCATGATTCTGTGATCCTGTAAATGGCTTCAGGGCAGCAGTTGCAGTCAGCAAGTCCCACACTTGATTCCCCCTCTGGCAGCAGAATTCCCTATGGCAGCGGATGGTCCCTCCCAGCCGTGTCCCCTGCCATGTTCCCTGTCCCCCACGGCCTCCCATGTCCCACTGCCATCCCCCCTGTACCCCCCGCATGCCCGTGTCCCCTTGTCCCCCGGTGTGTATTTCCCCGGTGTGTATTTCCCCGGTGTGTCCCCCAGCTGTGTCCCTCGGTGTGTATTT